TGAAGTATCAGATTTTCCTAACGATTTGCTGGTCTCCTGTTTACTTGGTGCTGCAGTTTCTCGCGTTAACGTGGTTATCGATCATTGCAACGATACGCAACCGAAGTACAAGTGGTATAAATACATGGTGAGCGATGAAAATAGAGAACTCGATGTTTGGCTGGGAAGATTCAAATCGTTAAAGTTGGTCGAGTTGGTATTCGATAGGGTTGGTGAAGTGAACGTGGAACTGGATATTCGGCTGGGGGTATTTTTATGGAGAATTATAATTGGATAGCCGAGGCGAGAGTGTTTTGTAGAGAAACGTGTTTCATGAACTGGATTTCTCGTTTTGTCGTGAAACAGATTGGATATTGATGTCGCTAATTGTACTATGTGCACGGGGATGAAGATGAGTTTGACAGTCCAGCTACTGATTGGTTTGTAGGTGAAGGACCATGGCGAACTTTGGTCGATGGTACAACACAGCTGTGGCAAAGTAAGTTTATTTGTTTCTCCACTCCTCCGAGATTTCCTTATAATAACCTCTTCAGTTCCACTGTGGTATCTGTAGTTGAATAGATACATGATTATTACATACTTTTTTGGTAATTGTGGCATGGAAATAATTGATTAAGAGGTATAATAGATACTGGGTAAGATATATAATAGGCTATTTAAAGTTTCTGTTTGAAAAATTGATTAGAAATGAGTTTAATAAATTTATTTCTTAGCGTGAATAAAGTTAATAATTTTTGAACGTATAAAGTAAAAATATACTATTGTAAATTTTATGATTCAAGTAAAATGTATAAGATATAAGAATTTTTGTTATCAAATGATAAATAATGTACATATTATAGAGAGTACAAAATTTATAATGAAATATGATGAAAATAAGTAGTAGTTAAAAGAGAACTATTTTTGTTTGATTTATCTGATTATTATTGAATAAGTATGTTGTGCAAACATTGTTAATATAGTACTACTATTATACATTAAGTAAAATTTGCATAATAGAAGAAGTGAATATCAAAGATATATTTATTTACTAGTAAACAATCACTTTGACTTAATATTGAAAATTATAACAAGCGATGAAGATTTAAATCAAAATGAAAATTGTAAAATCTCTGTTTTTGAAACGTTCAATTTTATCCATTGATAATATGTTACATTAAAAATGTTCAACCATGTCAATCATGTGCATCGTAAAAGAATTAATTCCATTATCACTAATTTTCTCTATTATCTATAACATAATATTAGTTTAAACAATCCAGGTTTGCTTACACTTGGATAAATTCAAACAAATTGAAAATCTGCATCACTCCCTTGATACAATGCTGCTTTTGAAAATTAGATACATTTAATTTTAATAATCTGTACAGTGGAGGTATTTTGTTGGTATATAGAAAATGGCCTTAATAATAATTCATAATATTATTAAATTAATAATTTATATACTTGGATATATGTTAATACTCATCGGTAATTTTAATGTACTAATTTTAATATTTTCTGTGATTTAAAATTAATAATAAAAATATAATAATATAAAATTATATGGGAATATTCTAATGAGAATGTAAGACTAATCTAAAAATACCTTAATTTTGATATTATTAAATATTATACAAGAACTAGTCTTTTTCATAAAATTATTCTTATAAAATAATTTTATAACCTTTTTAATGACGTCAGTATGTTGAACACAACAACATTATTTTTAAATAAATTATTTTTTATATACCTAACAACATCTATATTAACTTCGTATTTTATATTTATATTTGTACATGCAAAGAACGAATTTTTCCATAATTTGTTTAGAGCATAGCATCATGTTTAACAGCTAACAATAATTGTTTTATAAATAATAATATATAATAGAAGAAAAACAATATTATAATACATAGAAGGTATTTTTAAAATTAGTATTTCCTTAAAGAAAATTATAAAAGATAAAAATTAAATATATAAAATTACACAAGTTAAAGGTTTAAATTAAAAAAGAATTGAAAATAATACAGAAGTAAGCAGTTAAGAATAAAATGAACTAGACAAAAATAATTGAACTGGCTAACTAGTAACCAAATTAAAATTGAATATTTTAATATTTAATTTAGATACTATTATTATATGTCATATTAGCATTAGTGCAGGAATTTATCTCGTATGATAGGATTATTAACAAACTGCCTTAAGTTGTTGTAATAAAGTCGTCTATATTTATATTACCAATAAAATCAATAACACGTCTGTTATCGATGAGGTGTAGGATAAAACAATTTTATTGATTTCGTTGTTCTATATATTAGTAATAAAAAAAACCCTACGCATCAACAAGAATCATTCTAATGTTTCACTAATTACTACGGTAAATTATTTATACATACGGTATCAACAATTGTAAATTACCCATTCGTAATCATAAATGCTATTTTTTTTATTCACAATGAAAACAATTACATTTTGTTACGACTTTTTTACATGAAACTAAAAAAAATGATTATCATTCATCGATATTTTTGACAGTATAAGAGCATATATTGGACATCGCGTTGATCATAAGATTGATCGATGAAATAATCAGCAAGTTCAAAACTGAATTAATCACATTTACGAGAAGAATATGATACCGATAAATCGATCGCAGTCGATCTATTGGAGCCATTACGAAACGGAAGAACATGGATGAAAATTACTTTTGATTAGCATATTCACACTTCTATCGATTGGAAAACTTAAATTTGAGTTGTTTCTTAATGTATTATGTGATTCTTATATTCAAGCATTTCGATTTTTACTGTTCAATGATTCATAATTCTCGAAATTGGTACTTCCTGATGCAATGTGCATGCGTGTATGTATTTTTTTTTTTTTTCTTTTTTTTTCCTTTTTGTTAATACCCTGTGATTTTGGTAGCTAGCTAGATAGAGATCTCAGTGTCTTCCAGCAGCTCTTATCATTCCTCAGCATTGTGACACTGAGTGTGTTATTCGACCTCTAAAGAAAGATTTCCAGGTTTTACAAAGATTGTAGTCAGCTTTGTCAGAGGTCGAATGATTCAATCAGTGTCACGATGACGAGGTATCCTGAGAGACACTGAGATATCTGATGATGCTAGCTCGTAACTATTGCGAATCTTTAGGATTTTTCTTCCAAGAGCACAAGACTTGTATCTAAAAGCTTTAACACTACTACTACTGACCTGTAATGTGTAATTAAATATAACATATAATAATAATCAGAGTAGTATGATAAATGTTTTTACCAAAGACAGCTGCATGTTTGCAGTCGAAAGTGTCTAACAACGGTCATTTTAATTGATTTAGTAGTTCTAGTGTTAATTTTAATACTTGTGTTATTGGTACACTGTTGTCAAATATATATTTCAATATATTTGTTTAGATATTTGTTTAATTTCCCGCAGAATATTGGTATATACACCGTTACTCAGGAGTATTCTAATACCTTTGCCATTTTTAATTGACAATACATAAATGTTGTAACATGAAAGTTAATGACAAATTAATGACTAGAAACAGTATTTACTACCTTCTTACAAAGTCAGCATATCTTAGATTTAAATTATTTATCGAACGACTTGCAAATGTCAATAGTAAAAAAATATGTCGCTATTAGTATGAATTTTCATGATATTTCTATTAATTCAGAAGATCTTCCTATAATCGATCATAGTTCAGAAATTTCATAGTTTCATATCTCGTTTATGGAGATACATTTATTCCAAAATGGCAATTATTCTTTGAAATAGCAAAACAGTTCTGTGAAGTATTAAAGTATAATGTAACACCTAGGAGTATTTTGTTATTACGTATTAATTTTTTTTTTTTTTTGCAAATCAATTTCATCGCGTATAATATTCTGCTGCACGCCACTGTAATAATGACAAGAGGCAAAATTATTATAGCTGATTTCATATGTAATTTTGTAATTAAATTGGAAGGTAAGCGAGTGTACTTTTCAGCAATAATGTACGTATCTGTTTTTTCTTTTAATCAAAGTTGATTTCAAAAGATACAATTGACAGTGCAAATAAGCATTCGTTTTAATTTCCACTAATGCATCTTTCTTTTTTCTCAAAAAAGTAAAAAATAGTTTCTTTTCTGAAAAGCTGTTCTATACAAAATTCCTGGTTCTATTTAAAATTTTCATTCTGTTCTATTACGTGCTACATGCAAAATTTTGCTGTTCCAACTATAGTTTTCGTAAAAACTCTTGCCAAGAGTATCTCCTTGCTAATCACTACTATTTCTTTTTTACTAATTAATGTACAAAGAATCTTTCAAAAGTCTCTCAGCTGCCAACTTTAGAGCAAATCCCTCGAACCACGCGAAACTTGCATCGATTTGCATCGGTTTACATTTCCGATGTAGCAGCCGTAGATCGACGATTGGTCGAAATCCTTCCACGAACCGATATATCAAGGTCACCGTAGAATATGCTCATTATACTAACAGTTCCTCCGTTGTAAGTTCTCGTTCAAGGTTCCCTTAGCGACTACGGGATTTTTATCTCCGTTCGTTTAATTCTTTCGTCTTTTCTCGTTTTCCTTTTATCCTTTACATAATTGACGAGACCGTACTCCGAGAATTGCCATATCAACTATGCAAAACGTCTGCAGTATGCACTGCCATGATACATATGCAGAAGCATGTGAGGAACGGCTGATCGTTTTGTAACGAATATCCAAATTGATTTCTAACACAGGCATCAGACATTAAAATTCGTCAATTTTCTTCATAATCTTTCGATCATTTTCGTCTCGTATACGATTATTTATTACTAAAATTGGAATATCTATCCTTAATCGTTAAAATCCTGCGGCTCTCCGAAAAATATAATACACGTATATTTTGTTGATGTGACGAGGAATATTATCTAACCAGCTTTTCTCATTGCAGGTACAGGTAACCAGCGGGCGAACAAATGGAAGGTAGAAGAGCGAAGAAAGAACTCCGATGATGTTAAAGATCGCGTGTTCCCTTGATTCTGGCAATGATTCTCACCGGAATCGAAAAGGAGTTCGAGCGACTTTAAAGAAATAAATCTATCGGAATAGAGTGAAAAAGGACGAGAAGCTACAATCATGGGCTCCCTACCGAATCTACACGAGTTGTCCAAGGACAAACTCGAGAGTCCTGCTTTCAGACCAGCTCCAATAGGTGGTTTAGGGCCCAAACGACTGCCAGCTCAGCCTCCGCCGTTAGCACACACTCATAGACGCGTTAGAAGCAGTGGCCATCATCATACTACCTTGTGGGATAATGATGCTATGTTGGAGGTACAATATACCTCGAGATACCTGAAATTTACAAATTAACTTTTGCCCACTACTTGTCACTCGCGATTCAAATATCTCGAATCGAGTGAACTTTCGAATTCTTGTACACGTGATATACATATGAAGTACAGAACCGTGAATTCTATTCATCTAATGGGATAAACCTTTTTGGTAGATTCAACGCAACGAAGAAGAAAAAAGAACGTTTAACGATAAATATATTAAATTCATAATAAAAGAAATACTGTGCACGATACTGCTAGCTTATGAAAATATTCGAATAGTTGGATGCGTGGATTGACTGCAAGATTAACTGATGATCGGTGTTTCGCTGTTTTACATTTTATGTCGGGAAAGGTATGATTGGAGGTGTGTCTCGTCTATTGTCTGTGATTGGTGATAAAAATTTGGAAAAAGAAAGAGAACATGGATTGACAATGGTGGGTGACGAGTTGATGGATGATCTAGGTAACAAAATCATAAATTCGCTGAATCTATGAGTCATGCTACCTAGAGTATAGAGAAAGCTAGCTTGCCTTAAGCGGGATTCCTTGATACTTGAGTTGGTTAAATTTAACGAATATTATTGCTTAAGACTTGTGACTATGTTATAAAGACTATGTAAATTATGAAAACTATCAGAAGAAATATTTTCAAAACAAGTATTCTGTTTCAGCACATGGCAGCATATTCTCCCATCTCCTGTCGCTCAACAAGAACGTCCGCACTATCATGGCGTCGACGAGACTCGATGAACTCATCGGCAGGAGCATCGTCTGTACGTCGACTGATCGCTGCCGTGAGAGCAGCTCCTTCTGGTCCTAGACCACCGAAGAAGGCGATCCTGAGACACTGTGCCGCTCTTCTCTTCGGACACGCGATCTGTTCAGCCGCCACGCTGCCGATGTTCCCGTTACAGGCTGGCCTCGGTACCTTCAATCCTCAGCTAGGACCGAAGTTGCTCGCTCTTCTCTACGGAATCGCGACAATTACTAGTTGTTTCGCCCCGATTCTCGTACAGAGATTTGGAACGAATCTCGCGATAAGTACTAGTCACATGGCCACCACCGTCTTCGTCGGATTACATCTATATCCAAAGTGGTATCTATTATTCTTAAGAGAAGTAATTATGTCTTGCTACCACCAGGTGTGGTAGAACTTCTATACTCGGTATCAGAGATTGCAATAAAAACAGAAATTCTACAAATTCTTATCTAACTATACCGTTTCCATGCAAACAACTTCTGATTTAATTGCGTTATGTAACTTTCTATTATCTGATTCTCAAATCGTTATAAAGTTATAAACTCGAGTACAATAAAAACGCGAATACTTGATTTCTAATAAAGATATTTTATATCTCTATTAACAGGTACATACTGTTACCTAGTTACGCGATGCTGGGTGCTTGTGTGAGTCCAAGTTTCATAGCAAGAGTATCACACGTGAATACTTCAGCAACGAGTTTAGCTCTGGTGTGTGTCGATCCTGAGGATCCTGATGAAACAAGACGCGAATGCTATCTGAGAAGACTTAATCGAGGAATCAAATTAGCAGAAGACATAGGTCTTGCATTCGGTATGAATATTTCTGGAATTTTATGTACTTTATATTAATCTTACGGACGTACTATCATAAAATGGATTTATCCACTTTATAAAAATCCCTAATCCCTAAAATGCTTTCATTGCCCACGATATAGAGATTTTTCAATCTGTGTTTACTAAACACTTCTTACAAGTTTAGTAAGTACTTCATACTCTCAAAGTGGATATTCCTTTTTATACCTACCTTGCATACTAAAATGAAATATAAATGGACTCTTATATTTTCAGGTTGTTTAATCGCTGCCATACTCGTAAAATTAACAGATTCGATATCTCTTAATACAATAAGCAGTGAAGTAAATGATATTTGTGGTGCACAGTATTGTCCGAGGGAAATTTATCTTTACAATGGAACAATTAATTTACCTGCGTTATCAACCGGTACATCAAAAATGTTGGTTAGCATATGGCTACTTCTAGCTGTCCTAGGCTTAAGTATATCGTGCGCTTTTCTCGACTCCAGAATGAAAGAACCGCAGAGTGTAAATGAAAAACACAGCATGCAAAATATCCTCGCATCTGTGAAAGCTGCGTTTCTAGATCCTAAATTACTACTGGCAGCGCCATTAACACTTTTTATCGGACTTGAACAGGGTTTCATTTATGCCGATTTTATAGAAGTGAGTTAAATCAAATAAAAATCCTACAATCGTTATTTATTATTTGTAAATATATATGTACATTACTACCTATCATGAATATTTCATCGTTGTTCAACAGGCATATGTAGTCTGTGCCCTGGGAGGAGCTAGCACAGTAACCATCAGTTTTTTAGCTTTAGCCTCTTTGCAAGCCATTGCAAGTGTTACTCTATCAATGTTGCTAAGGCACATTAAAAGATATTTCGTCGTAGGTATGTAACACAATAAATCTTATTTCAGCTCTATTCATTTTTCGATATCAAAAATAAGTCCTGTTATTTTGTTTAACAGTTGTAGGATTTGTATTTCATGCATGTTTACTGTTGGTCTTAATCACTTGGAGACCATCCGGTGATGATCCAGCACTTTTTCATGTTATCTCTGCTGCCTGGGGAGTTTGTAATTCCATTTGGGAAACTCTAATATATAGTAAGTTATACATCCATTTTTGTTTTCTAAAATAAGCAAGTAAAATGAGTTTTTAAAAAACTTAAAAATTTGATTTTTAAATTTTTACATTTTGTTATAGTTGAATCACTTATATTATAATACAAATATTAGTATTTTTCAATTTTATTTATATTTAATTAATCTTGTTCAATTCTTAGCATTAGTACTAGGTTTCTATCCAAATTCTTGGTACGGACCTTTATCAACATCTCTCTTCTGGAGATATCTTGGTCTCTCTCTTACTCTTGGTTTACACGGACTGGTCTGCACACGATTTCGCATACATGGCCTTGCCTGTGTGCTATTTCTTTCAATGATTTCGTACATATTGTTAGAAGTTAGACTGACCAAAAGGGGAAAAAGCTTGGCACCGTTGTGACTGGGAGATGGGTCTACGAATGACCATGGATCAAGTATCAAGACAGAAGCTCGTTATAAAGATTGAGATAAGTTCGTTCCATTCGGCTTAAGAAGGACAAGAAGACATAACAGAGGTAGACACACTTTTATTCAACACGCTGCAACTGTGGCAAAATTACGCACACGACGAAGAGCAAACAGTGTTGCTTTTACCCGTAATATCGAGAAAAATGCAGTTGCAAAAACTATCGAACCCCAACCTTCTTCGTCAACTGCAGATGATCATCGTGCAAGTATTAGTAACAAGGAAAGTGGTGTTCTTCCTGTATCGTAATGCTGAACTTTTATTAAGTTTTCAATGGTTTTCATATCTATCTTAGTCCGGGACAACACAACAATAATAGATTCAAGTTCGACAAATTTAATTACATTTAATTTGTGTGTTATAGTGGCATCCTTGGTATGATGATATCTTTTTATATAATTCATCCTGCAACATACAGTATGTACGAGCAGTCATCTTGAGTTACAGTTTATATTTAATTTGTTTGATAACTTAATCTTTTGTTAGAAGATATTGTCTCCGTTTTTCCCTCATTTTTTCGTAGATGGGTACATTATAGTTATGTTACATTCTGTAGGGCATTGCTTTGCCAAATTTTAATTCGTTTTCAAACTGTTTACCAGAAAAGTATTCTCACAAAAGGTCATTATAAAATCACACCTAACAACAAAATGAGAAAGAAGAAAAAGAAGAAATACCGATAACAAGTAATTTATCAGAAATTCTTAAGAAATTACAAAAAACCTTTTGGTATTATTAAGTAAATCTTGCACTTTACATCTGCCCTTTTGTACGAATTGGAGTACATTTTAGTGATTTAACAGTACACTCTAAGAAAAAGTACACTAAAGAAAATTAAAAGCCTGCATATCCAGTTAAAACCGTGTTTCAAATACTGGGTAAAGTCTTTCTTGAAGTTGAATGGAACGAGCATATACGTGAAATCGTAAGAAATTTTTCATATACGATGATATATATGAGTAAATGTTCTTAGAATCGCTCTATAAATGGGCGATTTCCGCTACGGTACGATCAGTTTAATAAATCGGCATCGTACAAGGTTGAACGATAGCAGAATATACATTATTAACGATCGAACATACTAATCGTAGTAGTATCTCTCTGACAAATCATTTAAGTGGCGTTCAAACGTCGAAACGTACCTGATGTCTTTCAAAAACCAAATTAATTCTAATCTTGCGGGAGAAAAGGAGATTGTAAACCACGTCTGCCCTGTATTACAGAATCGAAATGAAATAACTATAAGATACTTAAATGTAAGTACAGTTATATATAGATTAATTATAATTACATATTAACGATCAATACCGAAGCTTATCATTCATACGAGAAGATGGATAAATTTTAATAATAATCTAAGAATTCATCGTACAAATAACACGTGTTTGATTAACAAAATATATTTTAATTTAAAAAAAGAAAAAAAAAACGCTTCAACGAAAAAGCCAATATTACTCGATTTTTATCATGCTAAAACGTCGTATTACTATCATTGATTGTAAACTTCGAAGAGAATCGAATATTCCTAAGTCAATAATGATTAGTTAATAATGTTAAAGAAATAAACGGTATTGAAAAATTTTTCCAATATATATAATTTTTCTATTTTATGTTATAAAATCGTTATTTATTACGAAATTATATTCCAAAGAATTAAATTGTAGCACACGTAATCCATTCTGTCCTATACATAACGACCAAATAAGTGTAACACAAAATGAACATCTAAAGTTACTCGATATTTATCGTATTTTTTACGACATTATCTATTCACCATATCATAAATGTACATTTAGTTACGCTTCTTATAGAACTTTTCGTATATAAAAGTTAACTTATATGATTCTATAATAATACTGTTACGTTTTATTACAGATTTTAAGATAAAGAAATTGTAACAATGTAAGGAACATTAAATACAAATTAACATATGTTATCTTGAATATTGTTACAAAATAAAACATTCACATACGTTTGATGGTACTTTAGCAGATAGGTATTTATATGAGATACTTCCTAATTTATAAAATCAATGAAAAACAAATAGCCGGACTATTTGGAAATTTTCTATAAAATACTTCCGAACACAAAGTCACTCTTCTTGTTACCATAATTTTCAATGTATGACTGATAATTTGTATTAATTCACAATAACGCATACAAACAAGAATAATCAACATAAAATTAATTCATATGATAGTATCACGTTTGTATGTATATCGATATATTTTGCAATCTTGAAATAAATTGTATAATTAAGATCCGTACAAGCAGAGTTATAAAAGAGAAGAAAAAAAACTATGAAAAGTGTCGATGAAAAATGCAAAAGAAAAAAATGTTGTTACTTGTTGCAAACACTAGGACAAGAAACACTACTTCCAACAAGAGAGTTTAATATCAAATCTTCAGCAATAACTTTGCTCATTTTGATTTCAGTATAATTCAGTAAATTCTATAACAAAAAACAAATGGAAGCTAAATGTTCGTGTCCTAGTATAAGAGCATGGGTTTATAAATGGTATTGGAGAGGCATATATTAACTGTATTTCGTGAAATAATAAATATTATCTTATTTTATATTGATTGATTGATTGAATCAATCTTCCTTCTTGATGCGTTTATAATTTCAAAACGTGGGTGTGGGTGTGTGTGTGTGTGTAATAAAGTTTCTCTCTAAGACAGTAAATTTCGTGAGAACATTACTGTTGAGAATATTATGTTTCTTTTTTTTTTCTTTTTATAGATTACATTTATGTGAACTACACATAAATTAACGCTAACATCATTGAGTGTTGAAAACGACATAGTAAACACTATATTGTATTACTTTCATCATAAATATATTATTCACACATAGGTAAATATTTGTCATAATATTCGAGCTAAGAGAAAGCATCTCTTATAAGTTCATTCTAGCAATAAAATGCACGTTCTTGGTAACGAACGTTACTTCGTATAATTATCTATTGACTCGTGCAATATTTCACGAGGATAGTAACTATTTCTTTATTTTATCTACTCTTTTTTTTTTTATTTTTTTTTTTATTAGTCTCGTGTCATTCCCCTGTATAAAGCCTACCTCTCAATGGTGATGACAAATGCGATCCATCATGTCGCATAATTTTATACTTATAGTATACAAGTTTTTATAACATTAACTACCTAAATTATTGTCATCATCACGAGACATACAGAAGTTAATTAATGTATCGACAGTGACAGTCGAGCACTAAAATATAACAAATAGAGTTATACCTAAATCACTCGCATTCAGCATACCATTAGCTACATAAAAACATTTAGCTATAGCATGTATAACTTTAACAATGCCCCTTTATTAAATCGATTAAATTTTCCTCTTAGGTTGCAAATGTAACACGATTTTCAAGATCTTAATCTCGCTAAAAAATCACACCTTTAAGAAATAATTGATCTACAAACCATAATACTTGTCTAAATGATTGCAAATACAAACTACATACACGGTTTCAAACGCAATTACAACGTATGATAACACAAGAGATCATAAAAAATTGTACGTTCGTGTATTTTACACAAATGAGAGAGGATTTGTTAACAATTGACAAAGTTGCATGTTTAATGAAAATGAAATCCTGCAAGACAAAAACCTATTTTGACCTCTACGAAAGAATACTGATGAGAAAATATCGAAGTGTTATTCAACTGCGTGGAAATTATCCACCACAGGTCGAATTATTTTCATTGCTAGTGGCAAAAATAAAATTTTTATCTTAAATTTAATAAAGATTAAATTAAATTTGTGCGAACGTTGTATACGTTGCTTTCCGAATAAATGAACTTCAACTGAGCAAAAGCAACAGGATTCGTCGTTTGATATGTAAAACAATTAATTGAAACTCGACAAAAATTTATTGTTTATAAATTATAAAGCTTCCTTGGTATTTAATTTCCTTAAAAAGAAAAATTATTAAGAATCGTGTATAAGCCATATCAATAAATGAGACGCGTCATTTAAATAGCGCCATATATCCATGAATATTATTATCTCGTCGGTTGAGAGAAGCAATATTAGGCTGAAGCATAGTGAATCAAGAACTTATGCAACGTCATTAATTATTTATATATTTTTCTTCAATTCCAAGCTTTGCAGTTCTTCACTGTTTCAGCCCAACATTACTTAACTTTCGTTTAACATGCGTAGTAATTGCACAAATAAAAATGGCTCTTACATTATTATTCATTCATACCAGAAATTTAACAAAATATCCTCAAATATTTCCAAACGTTTACTTATTAACAAATTACGGGAGCTATTTACTTTTTCTTTTTTTCTTTTTTGTAAATAATGTGCAAACACTTTCTGATCAAATAGAAATCCAAGTTATGACTCGTAATTTGCCAATATTAGCAACTTTGGTAATATCTGTTCCTGGTAACTACGCATAAAATATTATGAAACTAATAGCGAATGTTCATCCCACGCGAGTATTTTAACTTAGTTAAATACAGCACACGCTATATTGATTTAATTTGACGATTGTTTATACTTTCATATGGAAATCATATACATATATATATATACATATGTATATACATATATGTGTGTGTGTATGTGTGTGTGTGTGTGTATATATTTTCAAACGATAATAAAGTACGTATGTCAACAAATATTCAAACACGTTCGCTATAAATAATCGTGCACGCACGCACTACGAGATTCTTAAATAAAATATAAAACACAGGACTATAGTAGATTTCAGGCAAAAAAGGTATATTTGTTTCAGTTAAAAATTTATCAATTTGTCTTTAAAGCTACTTTATAGAAATCTCTTGTAAAAAAAAGGACAATATTAAAGGTCATTGCAAATGAGATTATTTGATACTAATTTTCAAAACATCTCAATTGTTTTTTTTGCTTTTATAAAAAAATCATTATTAAAAAATATACATGTTCAATATAGCACGTTCGCTCGTGATATTGAGCATGATATTTATTAATAAAGCATAAAATGTGCTCCCTGTTTATAAAAGTCATAGCGCGGTCACTGCGAAGAGCCTTTTAATTAATAGACATAACGAGCAATGAACATAGTTCTACCACATGGTGCGATATTGAGCAGTTTGCACTTGATAATATTCACACTAAGGCAATTTTGTATAATGAATAACACTGCATATTTCTTCCATTCACTCCGACGCGCGCGCGTTTATTTTGCGTACCACAAAAGTCTTTTTTTCTTTTGAATAATTTACAATCACTACTTAAGTTTGATACTTAAAATCTGTCTGTGCAAATGAAACAACTAATAGCTCAGACGGGAGTATAATTTCCCTTCGGATTGTAAAATATTTGCCCCTTCGCGAAACGCCTCAGAATTTCATTCGACAAAAGACGTTTTTCTTTCTTGATCTTCTTAAGTATGCCTCGGTTCTCTTGTGCACGCCGAGAAAGATATGGTAATACTTCTTTGACTGGACCGTAAGGAATATATTTGTACGCAGAGTATCCAGATTGGCCTAAAATTTGTATAAAGTAAAAGTAATCGTACGGTTCTCTCCAATTTTTATTACATAAGAAATAAACATACCTAGTGGAAATGTTATATAATCACACATTCCGAACAACTGGCCAAAACAAATCACCTTATCCTCTGGTGAGATTCCTAATTCCTCCATTCTGTTTTGCCATAAAATATTTAGAATAACAGTTTATGTAATTAGATAATAAATATTATGTCCAGTTTATATACATATAAGCAATTACTTTTCAAACTATTAAAAAAAAATATAAGAAAGAAGTTGCATGGAAACATGTATGTACACGTTAAAATTTGATATATGCTACGTATTTTATGAATATATGAAAACCATTCTACGGTACGTACTTTTCAATTGCAAAACGTACTGTATCCTCATTATGGGACGCAACCATAATTCCGATTTTTTTCGGATCCTCTCTTTTGTCTTTGTACTGTTTCACCCGCCTTAAGCACTCCATCAAAGTCCTATGGTAAGACTCAGTTGTAGCTTCGTACGTAGGATTTGTTGGATCAGGGTAACCCATTGCTGCTGCTCTTGCTCTCTCCTACATTAACAATTTCGTCAATTTCATTCTGAATTTTTAATCGATACAATACAGTCTTGACACTTCATAGTCACTGACATCAAATTACGTGTTTTCCTAAGCTATAGTTAATTACTATTCTTATGCGCTTATTTATGGAGAAATACGTTACCGTTCATAAGTTTAATCGAACCTGTGAAAATTGATATTCGAGAAATTAAAAGTACTAAATCTTGTAATAATGTAACAAGAGACATGAGACAAGAAGAGATATAGAATTCATCTACTTGTACCTAGCAACTAGTTTAGGGCAATAAAAATAATTGTTAATTACAAAAGTGTTGATCTCTTAATTACCTGTTCAATATATGCGCCACGGACGAGTTTAGCGCCAAAGTAGAAGTTCTGACGTTCAGCCTGTTCCAGATCCGTTTTCACTTCATTAAAAGCCTCTTGCAAATATGTCTGGTAAGTGTTGAACACCACGGCCTAGGAAGTAGACCATTTGGGTTTAGACCACTGAAAATTGATTAAGTGATAATATCGCATCTACGGAAGCAAAGCGTTTACCTTATGTGTATTGTACTTGCGCATCATCTCCAACGTTAACCGCGATATCGCAGGTTGGAAATACGTTTGTTCGGCATCTATCATTATACGTACGTTTAATTTATCAGCCACCTGTAAGAAAAGTTAGCAATTCTGTCTTTGCTAACAAACTAATCTTTTTCGTCGTACTTTCTATCATAAATCGTGAAAGTATCAAATTTTCTTTTAAATACAAGGTGTCCCGTATAACTAGTTTATATAGCATTGGAAGTAACAAATTACATAGGACACCCTGTATTTCTTGCTTGTTTCCATTTCTTTTAATGTGTTCATACCGTAACGATATTATTCAGACGTCTTATCATGTTTCTGAACATTTCTTCTTCCTTAGACGTGAGTTGGGTCATAAGCCTCACCATTTTTCCCGTTTTAATGTCTGGTACTTGGAATGTTTCGCTGAGCTCGTAATTCTCGTCCAGAATGCCACTCCATGGGAACAAGTGAATAACTCTGTAAAATGAAAAATATTATCGATAAACGAAGAAATGGAAGAAAATAGGTATTTATTTCAAATATGTATTGATATAATATATATAGAACTAATGGTAAATAAAGAAAACAGACGATATATGACAATGTGCTTGGAAAATTTCTTTATAAGCAGTGATAATTTTTAGGAATTACCCTTCTTTATCCGACTGAAGTTTTTGCAGAAACTTTTGTACCGGTGCTTCATCTTTAATATGTGCCTCTTCAAACTTTTTCCTAAAATCATCAGGCTTAGCATGATGAGTCAAAACGGCACCTTCGCCACCAACTACATCCGACATGTACTGTCGTGCTCGCATAATTACTTCTGATAATTGAAGCTAAAAGTAATAAAATATGCAATTATTTCATACAGTCGTATATATTATTTTTCAATATTAGATAATGATAAAATTTTTGTTTCCTTTTAAAATTACAGCTATGAATAATACAAACTGCTATATTAAAATAATGAAATAGAAAAATTTATTCAATCAACATAATTAGGAGTAGTTGAATGACTTGACTAATTTTATTATATTTCAATTATGATTTAAACTATGATTTAATTTGGCAAGAAAGATTCATCTGTTAAGAAGATTCACTTACTAAAAGTTGAGGACGACCAAGAGCAGTTAATTTAATGGCGGTAAAGCCAACTCCCGTTGAAGCAACTGTACAAAAATATATGAACGAAAAAATATTAATTTTAATGTATTAAAATTGAAAGTAAGAAGATTATCCTTAGAGGAAAAATGGATAAAGGACAAAATAAGGAATAATAGAAGGAAGGATTTTTCTTCTTACCAATTTCATAAATCTCACAATCAATGGAAATTTGGTGTTCCAGTTCCAAACAAAAAAGGTTTTAGGTTCAAGATTTTCATTTGACCCTCTGTAAAAACGCCATTAATCAACAACGAAATCAGGAAACATTATTTTCTAAATAATTATCACGTCGTAAGAAAGAAACAAAATGGTAATGTTCAAAAGAATCCTTAAAAATTGATGTCATGAAAAAATTATGGTACAATTATTTTCTAACTAGTCAACAGGTAACACAAATTTATCTATTGAAAAGATATCGGATAATTATTTTTTAAATAACTAAGATCATTTTTAATTTGTGTTCTCTGATGAAATAAAATAGTGATTTCCCAGAATCTCTCTCTAAATAAATTTGTACCTGCGAAAAACTATCGAACAATTGTCCAAATTCAAATAGAAACTACGTTAGTTGAATGAATAAAATATTTTTGAGCGAACCAAAACCCCGTTATGTCACGTTATTTGGTAACATAGCTGAATAAAAGATCCTCTAGGAGAGATATTTATAGACAGTACGTTTTCTAGGTCTTGATTTCTTTTAAAACTTTTGATCACCATCGCTAAAAATTTTCCAGGGCATCGTATTAAAACGCAGATCAATTTTTCAAGTTTCTATTAATAGAAATTTTCAATGCTTATAAGCTTAAAAATAATTATTAACTTAAAGCAAAGGGTATGTACTAATATTTATTTAGAGCTTTTTTTGAATTTGGAAGTAGATTGATTTAATAAATATACATGTACGTTTATCATTGATTTATCTTTGAGAAGTACAGATACGAAAATACGTATCAGAAACCAAAATAAAATGAACAATTGTAAATTTTTAAAACAGAAGATCCTAATATTTATTCAATTTTTTTAAAACCTTGATAAACATTTTCATTTCTGTCAATTTCTATTCTTCATTGGAATTACTTGCAAGTATCTTCTTTAATTCCTTATTTTTTCAAACTCAAATCTTGTGTATGTAAGAGAGAGAGATACAACATGATAATTCTTAATTTGCATCACGAATTCATTATGTAAATAATTAAATGATTAGAATAGTTTATCAGTTAACAGTTTGTTACTTAAACAGTTGATAATATTCGATAAAAGATTTCGCAGGATTTATTTTCATATAATTTCATTTTGTTTTTAATACAACAGTTTTACTGCATTTGCACTTTTTAGTTTAAATTGTATCATATTTTCTCCTCATATAAATGGATTCTTTCCAACATCGTAAAATGTACCATTAAAGTTTGTATAGGTATTATAGTCTGTGACAAGGTATTATAATACGTCATAAGACCTGCATAATGGCTAATGTTGCAACCTCGTTATAGGGAGACCTATTATGTATATTAAAGAAGTATGTTACATTATTCTGTGGAATTTTATTTTTTTCTTAATATAAAAAAATAATTTAAAAAAGAATCGATAACTACTTGCTTAGTAATGTAGTGAAACAGGTCATGTTCTAATCATTTATTTGCCACCAATCTTGATTTCATTTCAAACTCTGAAAGTCACAACATTGTGTTCTTATTAATCACCCTGTTGCAATCTTTTCTGATTTACCGAGCGTGCAATATTCGATAACTTACACTGAATTCCTTAAGTTATACAATGATTTATGAATTAGCCATAAATTTGTGTGCGATAAAAGTCAATCCCAAAAACACATAAGGCTGGTTAATTTACGTGATCGGTCTTGGAACGACGAAAGTAAGTGTAGGAAAAATTAAAATTGTACGGAAGAAAAGATTTTGGGTGAATAATCGTTCAGAGATTTCTAATTGATTTCTTTTCCGATTATACTTGGTATCGTATATGGTATTTGGTTTCTGTTCGTTCGAAAAATTATTTGAAGAAAAATTGGAAGACTTTAAAGAAAGAATGAGTTATTAATAATTCAGAAATTAAGAATGAATTCTTCAAGCAATTAAAATTAATTTCTTTTTCTCAAATGGAATTGTGTTGTTTTTATATATCAATGCATACACGTTTCTTTCTCTTTTTAAATTATACTGTACGAAAGTATACTTTGTACTGAATAAAACATATTTGCCAGGCATTTCTAACTGATAGCACAAAAATGAGATAAATTAATTTCTAAATATACTTTTCTCTATATTGCTCGTTTATAGTTCAAGAACACTTTTGAAAACCTAGAATAAATTAAAATAAAATAGCAATAAATTGTCTATCTATTTCGTAAAAATGGGGAGATATACCTATTAAATATAATAAAAAATTATTCGATAATTTCTTTAAAAGAATCTTTCAGAAGAGACTCGTTTGAAAGATTAAAAAATTGATTACCTTAAAACCAAATAATTTCAAACACATATTTGAGGTAATTACTAATTCGTGGAATAAATACATCTTAAAAAATAACAACAAATTAAAATAATACCAACTATCTCTAAATTCACTCATAAAATAACAAAACATTCTTCCTTGTCATGTGGACTAAGACTTTTAGACAATAGTGTATATTGCTCTCTTCTTGTCCAGGTTTCTATATGAAAAAGAAAAAGCTAGAATATTTTACACATTAAGACATACTGATTCAGGTAATTCACTCACCGGCTACAGACTCGAGACATCTGATAAATATGTCCATGTTCCGTTCGCAACTTGCTTCATTAAGATAGAAGTACGTTCTTGCCGATGATACTTTATATCGACGATCCGCGAACGTTTTCGCGACATGGTACTTCTTTAAGACACCTTCCCTTTTCTCATCTCCAGCTTCTGACACTGACGCTCTATAAATCACCATTACTCGTATTAAACGGATACTTGCTTAAACTCGTGCTAAAAGATTAATAACAATAAACTATCGACTGCTTTATATTGTAATTTTGCTAATATTATCGTTTTATATTACTATAGTAGCTATAGTTTGTAATTTTAGTTACTTTAGTTGCTATAATTTTATATTACTTTATATTAGTAGCAGTAACAAATAATATGCAACAAAACGTAAGTATATCAAAAAGAGACACTGTTGTAGAAATAGATTTCTCTCAAAAGTCTTGAAATTTTGTTCATTATTATGAAATGATTATTAAAGATATTCGTTCTAAATATGATTCTATCGTTATTTCAAATATTTTGTTAACATTTAGTCTTTTTCTGTTTTAGGTATGGCAGAATTTGTACCGAGTAAATGTTCTTATTTAAAATTGTTCGATTCACATACACGACAAATCCCTCAAGGAGTTCTAGGATTGGCTCTGTAAAGAAACGAATGAAAATAATAAAAAGTTAGAAAAAGGAAAAGCACTATAAATATGTACTGTATTTCACGCCGTTCAGCTTCCTCCTGTGAGATGTCTTCCTCAACGGAATAATCAAGAATCGGTTTCACGCCGAATTGTCGCAATCTATCCAGGACTGGAGTGATTTGTACCTCGTCTTCGCCAGCGACAAAGTGACCGTAAAATGTAGCCTTCATAATCCTCGCAAAAAGCCTCTCGCCAAATAACTGTTTGCTGAATTTCATTAGCTGAAACAAAACGAGATATGTATATTCAACAACTAACTGAATGAGCTTAAAATTACATAATTAGCCTTATCGTCCTTGGCGTTAAGGTTCAGTAGTCATTTCAGGAAAGTATTATAGTAATTTTCTAAACGAAATAATTCTACGTTGTAACATATTTTCATTGCAATTATTTCGCAATTAATTCATTTTATTTCTATCGCAGAATTAAAATTAAACGACCAAATCCGATCCACACCGTTGAGATCATAGATGAGCCAACGATATCAAGTTCAGAATAAGTATTATTTCCAAGTATTTCAACAATTACTTTCTAATAATTATATATATTACTTCAAATGTGTTCACAGGGGTTTTAAACGATCTCCATTTACTTGTAAAGTAAATAAAATTACGAAACACGTCTGCTGATCTTCGACATGTCTGCTACCTGTTGTCCAATCTCATTTGATCACAGCCAACGCGTTGTTTTCAATAGAAGCATCGAAACAATAATCGTGGCACGAGACTTGGCGAACAGGTAGGTCACGAAATAAGTCCAGTACATCCTACTCATTCATCATCGAATCACGCGCTTGAAACTGAACACGTGAGTTTCTAGTAAGATATGGCAAGGTTCCATCTTATTCAGGCAACGTTCTAGTTCTTTTACACACAGCTTGCTAATGATTCATCTTTGAAAACCGTAGAAGATATATGGTTCAAAAAAAGTATCATTTTCTGCAACGTAATGCTGTTAAGTGAAACGTAATACTTAAGGGGTATTAATCAAAAGTATTCATCGCACAAGTAAGTGAAATATTAATAACACGAATGACATGAATCTTCGATTAATACCATAGTACAAGAAAAAGAATCACCTGTCGATAAATGAGATTTATTACGTGTAGAGAAGTCGGAGGAACAAAATGAAAAATTTGCAAACTTTCTTATTAATTTGTGCAACGAAAAATTTACCATTACAGGAAATTTTGAGAAAATCGCAAGTGGATAAAGTTTTAATAGGACACCATATATAGGGAATGAACTGGGAAATTAAATGGAGCATAAGCATAATGATTTTCTAAGAAAAAATTCGCATGTTCGTCATCTTAGCACCATAATTTTTTCATAGATGGAACAATGTATCCTTAAACAGAGATTACAGTCGTTTCTTCAACGGAACCATGCAATTTTTCCACGCGAATAAAACGATTTCCAAAATGATTTCTTTCTTTAAAGTAGATTTTATAAACATCATTGTTCTTGCAGTATCACATTGAAAAATTAATTATTTATAACGTAAGCAATTATAACATTTCATCTATTTATTAATAACGTCCAGTTGTTTATGAAAACATAATTACTTAATGACTTTAAGGGGATAATTTTGTTGTGATATTTCAGAAATTAATAACAAATAACAGTTCACTGATATATTTGCAGCTGAATCAAAATTCAATTAAAATTCATGGGTTTCTTAACTTGCAAAATAAGTATTTCTGTTATCGTTGAAGTTTTTCTAAAAATTTTCAATCTTGGTTAGTAATCTAATGTTCTTCTTATTTGATTTCAGGGGATTCGATTTCCACTCGAGATGTTCGTTCCATCAACGTGAAATACGATCAATATATATACAAGAACATAACAGCAAATGGTAAGGTACAATATAAAATAAATACAATATTTTTCAAATAACACAATTGATTTATATAATGATATATTTTACGATTCCATTTAAAAAGGAGAAAAGAAGGTAAAATACAATATGGAAAATTAATTGCAACACGTGTAGAAGAAGTCACAAAATATGGGGAATTTAATTAAACCGAAAAGCAGGAATATTTTCTGTAAGGTTTTTATGCGTTTGTTCGGAAAAAGAGCCTCGGGACCTTATTCATCGTATACAAAAATTGGTAAATGCACCATAAAATTAGTAAATGCGTGTTTTGCTTCTACGTTCTGCTAACAAATTTGCTATTTCTTTTCGTACGTGAATAAAATTGCAGTGTAAAAGCTATAAAAATAATTTTGAACCCAAAACAGAGGGTAGAACAATCAATAATATAAAACAGGATATTTCATAACACGTAAGCCATGGAATAAAAATAATAAAAATACCGAAATCTTTATATATTTTGTAACATATATGAAATTATTTTTTAGGTATAATGAAATTTGAGGACTCGAAGATACAATTGCATTTCTTCCAAAGACGAAAAGTATGACGAAAATATGAAACATGAAATTTCCAAAGTACAGTTGTAAGTACATTTCATCTTTATGTTTTATATATTTTTTCCCTTTTTTAATGAAATTTACTAATAATTTTGTATTTACCCACAGCATTCTGGTGTTAAAGACATTGCCCTTTGTACCACATTACTTTCACACTCCTCGGTATTACAATTGCTACATAAAAATCTTAATAATTCGTCAAAATTTGAGAGATTAATTAATTCACAAATTAAATGACAAAATCATCGTAACACGCGATAGTCTTCCCGCGTAAAATCACGTAAAACGACCAATACAATAGCAACCATAAATATTAGGTTAAAAATACCGGTGTAAAAAGAATGTATATGTAAAATGACATTTTTTATTCTTTGAAATTCGCCTGCACAGCTTTTACGTAATTCCACCACGAAATCACATTACGCGTAATACTCTGCAATGATTACTCTGCCGTGGTCATTTTCGCGATAAAAATTAGCGTCCAGCTGCGCTCAATTATCATAAAAATTATAGTTGGAAACGCGTTCCTTTCTTTATATATGACGGTTCTGTCAGTAGCAATTAGTTGTGACGTCAACGACATTCAACATATAACTTTTTGCAACGATAAAGAAGAAAATTTAGATTTTTTCCTAGGCATTATGCAAATTACCGTGTCGGTCAACCTTTCTTGAATCGTGTGTTTTCAAAAGAATCTCTTTTGACAACGTATGTATACATAAATAACTCGTATACAACTCCTTTGAGACGAGATCTCGCAAAAATTTCCTTATGATGCACGTTCAGAAGACATGCAAATAAATGATGAAATAACATAGATTTTGTTTTTCTTCTCGATCTCGGTACATTATAAAGAAGGAAAAGTTTGTTTTAAAATTAGAATTTATCTTCTAGCCATAATTTATCATTTATTGTCGATGTGCCATTTTTAAAATACTAAATAATTATAATAATAATAATAAATGAAATTCTTCTTGACGATATTCGCGTTTAACTCGTAAAAAATAAGATAAATGAATATATTTAATTAGGTTCTTATTTCAATAAGAGTCAGAATTAACATTGCCAAAATCAGCTACGCGTCTTCTACAACTACAAAAGTAAAAAATATATAATAGTATAGAATGGATCTACAGATACAAAGATATAAAGAAACTTTGAACTCAAATATAGGAATCCAATTGCATAAAACACAACTGGACAGGTTTTTTTTAGTAAAGGCAAATATAAATATTATATTTCACTCAAAGATTTCCTTATTCTTCGCAAAATCGATAATTTTAGATTCATCTTTTAGTTGAACAAAAACGTAAATTCGCCTCTACGATTTCTGAAGAATTTTAAGAATTCTAAGAACCATTTCTTCTTCATTGTTCTCGTGGATAATGATAGATAATGATACAATAATAACTGTATCGCGTGATTGTAAGTTTACGATTAATAAACGAGAATATTTCCGTTACAGATATAATGCCGTATAGCACTGATCATTTGCATAAATGAATTGTTAAGGCGTAGTGACGAGTTGCGATTTGCATCTGTGACTCATGTTGTTACCAATTCCTGATCGTCAGAGATAAACGCATCTCATTCACTGTGCTCGCATGATCGAAAATGTGATTCTTTCTCTCGAAACATTCTCCTCCTTGAACCTTCCATCGTGTTCCTAATGTTTATGTCAATCGTGTAATAATTATGGATGTGTAGGTATTCTTTTTAATGAACCTTCTTTAAACAAATAGAATTGTTAAATAAAAAATTAGTTCGTATGTATTAATATAGGAGAAAAAAATAAATGGAAATAGAGAACCGGTTTGCAGTACCGTTTATCGCTGAGTGACATTAGTCTAAAGACATGGTTGGAGCATACAGACCGGAAGTTGAAGGAAGGGTTATTCACATGTTAGTATAGTAGCTTTTGTTCTATATTTCTGTGCACTTCATGCTGTTGCTATCACATATGCTTATCTTTATAGATAGAATTATTTATACATACGTTTCCTCATCACTTAGAGATTGTAATAAAACGTAAAAATATAAACGTATTAAGGCTTTGTCGTATTTTATATCTTTGAGAATAGAAATGATTGTTAAACGGAATTTCATTGCACTCGGTATACTTCACATAGAAATCTATTTTTATTAATACCAAAAGCATTAAAATTTTTCGAATATTCCCTTTCTTGTATATGAAAATCTCGTTAGAAGTCAATTTACAATTATTTCCAGCTAAGGATTATATCCCCCTAATTGTAAAGTGATTTTCATTTGTTTCGTTCATTTTGTTCAGTTTGTCAGTCGTATTCATATTTTTGTACAACAGTTTCATAATGGTGGATGTTATCGTGATAATTACAAGTAGTTATTCGATAAAAGCAGCATACAATTTCAATTTATTAATTATAAACATTTCAAACATTAGACACATTGCGAATATTGTATTTTATAATTTTTATAAATTTTATCTTGTAGTTGAATATCAGAAATATTCAATTTATGAGTAGGTATTCGAAAGTCCCTGACTACATAGTATTTTCAAGGACTGTATATATTACAAATAATTGATGGTTATTTTGTCTTGCTACAGTATAGCATTTCGAAACATGCACTTCAACTTTAAAAGATTGCACGGTAGCATAAATTTTTTAAGAAATATAAACTAGAAAATTCACAGTTTCGATAAGAAAAATTATACGATAAATATGTATTACATATTTATATGATATTTTTAGGAAAAATTACAGGGCACTTGCTTCTAGAATTTACATGTAATAAATTTCATAGAA